GGGTGACAGAGTGGCTAGAACACCAGAGTTGGAGTCTGGAAGACCTGAATTTCAATCCTGCCTCATTCACATACTAGCTATGTGACCCTGGGAAAGTCATTTAACATCTTTTAGGCTCAGTTTCCTCATCTGTAAAATGGGGATGATAATAATAGCACCAACCTCCGAGGATTGTTGTATGGATAAAATGAGACAATAATTTACTAGTATTTTGCAAACTTTAAAGTACTATATAAATTCTAGCTATCATTATTATCATATCTGTTATTAGTAAAATATATATATATATAAATATATATATATATATATCCCTTAATATGTTTAAACAAAGTGAGCAGAATCAAGAGAACATTGTATATAATAACAGCAATATTGTTTTAAGAATAACATTGAGTGAATAAGTCATTTTGGCTGTTATAAATACACAAATTAACTATAAAAGACATATGAAGAAAGATACTCTCTGCATCCAGAGAAGGAACTGATAAATAGATGCATGTAGAATAATTGTACATATATATATACACACATATATATGTGTGTGTGTGTGTGTATACACACAGAGACATATGTATGTATGTATATACACAAGCATATATGTATATATACATATACAAACATACATTCACATACTATATATAATGTATATTATACACACATATACCTATTTGTGCTTAATGGTAGCCATCTCTAGGACAGGGGTGTATTTATACATATACATATACACATATACATGCACACATTAAATATATGTATATGTATATACACACATACCTATTTGTGCTTAATGGTGGCCATCTTTAGGGCAGGGGTTGGGGGAGAGAAGAAAAAAAGAAAAAAAAGGAAAAAAATTTACATCATAACTATCATATAGTTTATATATAATATATATTTTATATATTAGATATAATGTATATTATATATTTAAAGGAATACATAATAGCTTTGCAGTTTTACTTGCAATAATCTTTTGAAAAATTATACTTTGTTATGGAAATGCTTGTTTATTCCATAAATTTAAAATAAAATAAAATTTTTTTAAATGTCTAAATTTAGTTACTTTAAAATTATATAAATGTAATACTTTACTAATACTTATAAAGTCACAACATAAAAAAATATAAATTTTCAAAGGATGATATAAAGATAAAGTAACATTTGATCACTGAGTAACTAAGAAAGCAGTGGGGTTTATTGAGCAAGAGAAAGACTTGGCTGGAGCTGTGCCGGGAACATCACCTCAGTAGGGATGTGGAGAATGGATAGGAGAGGGGAGAGGCTTGGGGAAAGGAGACTTAGATGATTCTGTTGCAATAGTCCAAATGAGAAGTGAGGAGGCCCTGAACTATGGTGGTGATGGTGTGAGTGGGAGCATGGATAGATAAGAAACATCTGGAAGTAGAACAAGCAGCCAAGATTTGACAACTGATTATATATATGGGGTGGGGCAAAGTGAGCAGTTGATGATGACACAAAGGTTGTGAAAACCTGCATGACTAGAAGCATGGGGGTGCCCTCAATACTAATAATGAAGTTTGAAAGATGGATGGTTTGTTTTTCTTTTGGGGGGGGGAGTAGGAGATAATGTTATAACACCTGTGACCTAGGTCATAACCCATGTGTCTTATTCTGTCTTGCCCCAAATGAAAAAAAAAAGCAATAGTTGCTGCCTCCAAGTCTCTGCCCACCCTCCAAGTGGCCTCTGCTGTAATCATGAGGTGATCCGGGGGACAGGGAATGGAGGAGGAATTTTACCATTGGATCCTGTGAAGCTGCTGTAGGTGATGAGTAGTTTAGGGTACAACTGCTTTTAAAGTCTGATTGCAAAAACAGAAAGGAGGATGCATGGGAGATTGTTTAGCACGGGCAGGTAGTGGACCGTGGGAGGATAAGGTTTATGGTTGTATTGGACACAAGCTCCACAATTCATTATCACAATGAGAGCAGAATATAACCTGTTTTCCTACTTTCAATTAATAAATCACACACTCTTTGGGGATTGCCACCCTCCTCCCACTCTCCCCAATCCACAGAGTGATGCTACTTACTTACTTTGAAGACAGACTATTATACTAGACTGAGAAGGTGAAATGGTGATGGAAATGTGGCACACCTTATAGTACTACTGATCAAGAAGAATGCATTTATATAACACTTTCATTTTTCAAAGTCCTTCCCATTTTTAATCTACTTTTATCCTCACAACATTACTAGAAAAGAGGAAGAACTGATAGTTCCTCTATTTTTCAGATTTAAAAAAAAAGTCCAAAGCAAAAACTGAAACACATGTAGCCATGAAGTCTTGGGGAAAAAAAAAGCAATCAGCGTTGTTAATGATAAAATTCACAATTAGAATACCAAAAAAAATTCATACATTTCCTGTGAGGTGAGACTAAAATAACTAGAACTTTCACTTTAGAAAGATGATACCTGAAAGAGGCTATGTTTCAAATCTAGGAAACCATGAAGGTTATTATGGAAGAGTGAATGTGTACTTGCTCATCAAATTCTGGAATGTTTGACCTAGAAACCATGAAGCTTAATACTCTCCTGGTTCCTCCCAACACTGCTCCCCCCAAAACAACAACAACAACAACAAAAACTCCTTGAAGGTAGGGGTTATTTTATTTTTGTCATTTTGTCTCCAGAGCCTAGGATAGCACCTTACACATAGTAGGCTCTTAAATGTTTGTTAAATTGTTGTTTTGAGTGGAAAGAGTGTCATATCCAATGACCTGGGTTCATATCTTGTCTCTGCTGCTTACTACCTTTGTGACCTTAGGCAAATCATTTAACCTCTCTGCGCCTCAACTTCTTTATCTGTAAAATGAAGAGTTGTATTAGAAGATCTGTAAGGTTCCATCCGGTTCTAAGTCCATGATCTCAATTTCCAGTGCAATTGTGTGGTATTATCTCTCTTACTATGATCTGTTTTATATTATATATTCTCTAGTATTATCCCTTTGTACCCTCACTTAACTGAAGCATTTCCTCCTTTATAAAGGGGTGTGTGTGTGTGTGTGTGTGTGTGTGTATGTGTACACACGTGTGCATACGTGTATGTGTGTCTCAGGGGAAGAGGAGTTTGGACTAGAAAATCAGACATGTGAGATGCCCTGTTACTCCTGGTGACCTCAATGCCTCAGTTTCTCCAACCACAATAACACAAAGACTTAATTTTGAAGAAAAATCTGGACATGTGTTTTACTTTCGTGTAAAACACAGTTACTCAAAGGTGATCCAAGTACTCATTAGTGCAAATGAGTTGGCTGGTTTTTCCTATGTAAGCCCTGGAGAATATAATATAGTGTTATTTCTGTTTCTCTCTAATTCTCTAAACATGGAATGATTAACGTTAAACTTTGAGAAGTGTCTCCCTTTCACTAGCAAGAATTACAGCTTTGGAATCAACACCTTGTTCTATGAATGGAAAAATACACAGCAGAAAAATTTTCAAATCCACATGGTGCATCTGTTCTGCCAGGAAAAACTTTTGGTATCCTAGACAATCTGCTTCTTGTGCAAGCCCATTGGGTAATTGAGCATTTAGCTAGCCATTTGCACACACAATTACCCAATTGGTGCAAGATAATGTCTGGGTTTTTTTTAGCATATGTTTTCCCTAGTAATCAGACATACATATGTTCTTGCTATGCATATATTTGTCCACAAGACAAGGCCAGAGTCTTCCTTCAGCAATTTAGCCCCAGGTTTGGCTTGAGCCACTCTAACTCCCAGGCCAAGAAGCTGTAGTTGCTGTCATTTGTATCATTTCAATGATCATATGGACAGTAAGAGAGTCATCTTATTTGCTTCTTTTCCCCTCTGTAAATGTACAGAGATCTTGCAAGGTAAAATATGAAACCCTTAGGATCAACAGTTTAGAAGGGTGACAAACATCCTCTAGTACAGTGGTATCAAATTCAAATAGAAATAGGGGCCGCTAAGCCTTCTTAAGGATCCCTAGGGGCAACATGATGACTTAGAAAACCACATACTAATATTATCTATATCCTATATTCTATTGCATTTTTATTTATGTTGTCTCGTATTTCCCAATTATATTTTATTTTATTTTATTTTGTTATTTTATTATTTTTTTGGTGAGGCAGTTGGGGTTAAGTGACTTGCCTAGAGTCATACAGCTAGTGTCCCCATTACATTTTAATCTGATTCTGTCCCTATGTGCCTGTTTCATATCTGTGATATAGTCCAATCCCCTCATTTTACAGATGAGTTAACAATTTCAGGATTGAAGGTCAGCTTTCTGAAAGGGAGATAGGCCCTACAAAAGTACTGTATGTAATTGAATTGGATACTCAGAAGAGTAATAGCTGCATTTAAGTTACATGGATTATTTTTAAAATCAGATTGCACCATCCCATTCACACAAGAACTTTTTTGATATTCATGGAGCTAGGTGGCTCAGTGGATGGATACCAGTCCTGAAATTAGGAAGACTCATCTTCTTGAGTTCAAATCCAGTTCAAATCAAATTACTAGCTGTGTGACCCTGGACAAGTCACTTAACTCTGCCTCAGTTCTCTCATTTGTAAAATAAGAAGGAAATGGCAAACCACTCCAGTAGCTACCACGAAAAACCTCAAATTGGGGTCATGAGGAGTCAGACACGACTGAACAACAATAACATTCATGACATTCTTTAGTGGTACGTAGATAGATATGTAATCAATCATTCATTAAGTGCCTACTATGTGCCAGGAATTGTGCTAAGCCCTGGGAATGCAAAGACAAAAATTAAACAGTTTCTAAGGAGAGAAAGAAGTACTTCATCTCTCTTAAAGAGTTTACATTCTGCTAACATGGACATATTGAGAAACAAGGCTAGACAACCAAAGTTGTGAAACTGGCTGTTTTCACACCCACACCCACCAACACACAAACACTTCCACCCACACATCCGTATCTTCTACCACCCCTATACAATATATTTCCTCTTTTCATCTTTCCTTACTTTGAATTCCCCCTTCCTTCCTAGGCACCTAGTAATTTCAGACTTCCTCCCTTCCCCCCTGTTCAGAGAGAAGAAATTTGATGAATGAATTTAAATTTTTCTGCGTAATATTTTACTATTTGGGGAGGATCACTGGAAGACCTAACAGGATAGCTCTGAAATGGTAAAATATCAAGGACTCTTGGATAAAGGAGATACCTGGGGGCAGAGGAATCTCAGAAGTCTGAAAATCATGCCATGTAAGTTAATGTTTATTTTACCTTTATGTAACTGCAGTGAGATATAGTGCATTAAATTAAGTTCAAAAGATCTAGGTTTTAGAGGAAGCCTGACAGTAAATAGAGTGCTGGATTTGGAGTCAGGAAGGGAAGTGTTAAAATCCTATCTCAGATGCTTATTAACTGTGACACCATGCACAAGTCTCTTACACTCTCTGCAGTTTCTTCTTTTGTAAAAGAGGCGTAATGAAACTGGCAGAACCTACATTGCAGGGACATTGTGAGGCTCAAATGAGATAATGGATAGTATATGGTGCTTGCTGCAAACTTTAGGCACCATATAAATGTTGGATACTATTAATACTTTTACAATTTCTCAAACCAAAATCCAAAAGGCAGTACAGAGTATAGAATATAAAGACTAAAGGAGAAATTAGGGTAGTGCTTTTCTAATACAGAGAGGGGCAGGGGAGGAGATACTTTGATAAGAACCATCTGGGGAAATTGGCCACCTCTTCCTAATAGATTAAAGCTTTTATTATGTGATATAGCGGAAAGATTGCCAGCTTTTGCTTTGGAGGACCTAGATTCAAATCTAGTCAGGGTCACTTAAGGAAATTGAAGGGATTAGGATAGCAAGTGGTTAATTGTAGGAATTGAGTGAACCATGCTGACTCCATCTTGTGACTCAATTCTGGAGCTAGCTCAGTTCCATTTCTATTCAATTATGGGTCTAGTCCAAATTCTGTCTTATAAGAAAACCTTATTCAATTGTGGGAACTGGGAGAAAAATGTTAATGTATTGTTTGCACCTAACCGGTTCTATGTGGCTGGGAAACTGGATTCCATCTCCCTGCTGCTTAGAGACCCTTAACCAAGGACCTAAGTTATGCTGACCAGAAACCCAGTTAGATCCACAGTGATGCAAGGAGCTTCCTCACAATTATGCATCTCAAGCAACCCAGATGTCTTATCTGAAAATTGGTTCCCTAATGATCAATCAGTTATTGTTTCCCCGTTCCTTTGATTGTTTTGCAGACTCTTGGGAGGACGGGTTACCTTTTTTTTCTGAATTCAGGGAATTGTGCCTGTTTGCTTTCTCTCTCCCAGTTTGGAAATTCTTTAATTTTTCATCCAATTAAAAATCAGATTACCTAATGTTGTATTGTTTCCTTTTAGTCCATTGGTCTTGTTTGAGTAATTGTTTTTAATGTATTAAAATCTGTATTCCACTGTAGTTGGAGTCCAGGCCTAAGCTGAAGAAGTCTGGTCCTGGTTTGTTGGGCAATTAATGTGTATTGTTCAATAAATTGGTATGCTCGGAAGATCAAACCTTTGTTTTCTCAGTCATTTCCTCTTTTACCTGCCACATACTTAATACTTGTGTGACCTTGGTTGGGCACATCTCTTAAATTCTCTAGCCCTCAGTTTTCCTTATCTACAAAGTGAGGAAGCTGGACTAAATGACCTCTAAGGCCCATTTCAGCTCTAAATCTGTGGTCCTATGATCTTTATGTGCATTGTATTGTCATTTGAATGTTAGTAATTACATAGTTCTTTAAGGTTTACAAAGTGCTTTACAAATATCTTATCTGACCCTCACAACAGCCCTTGTGCTATTATTATTTCAATTTTATAGTCGAGGAAACTCTGGAAGACAGCAGTCAAATGACTTTCTCAGGGTCATACTCTTAGGAAGTATCTCAGGCTGGATTTGAATTCAGGCCTTTCTGACTCCATCTCCCATGCTGTATTCACTATGCTACCTAGCTGCCCATCAGGTTAATTAATGTAACAAAGAACAGTTTTAAAAATACCTCATTACCCCAACTACTTGAATACATAATGCCAGTCCCCACGCCCTTATTAAATAGACATGTGAACTTGGGAAAATCACTTAATTTTCTTTACCTCAGTTTACTGAACTGTAACAAGGGGATAGCCAGCCATATTTCCCTGACCTATCCCCATGTTATTGCTATGAAGATCAATTTAGATAATACATGTAAAAAAGGGTTTGGAACATTGTAACGTATTATACCAGTGTATAGTTGGTAAGGATGGCTCATCGACATGGACACAGGTAACAGAGTATTAACAATAGACTGAATAGTGCATAATATTTGTAAGAGAGACAGAAAACACCTGGCCTGTTCTGTTGCCTCATTAATCTAGAAACTGCTAATTTGAAATGCATGATCATTCAAACGCTGTCTGGGCAGAAGTTTATCTTTGTACTATCTATGGGAAAGGTATTTGCTAAGCAAATTAATAGTTATAGGGTGAATATTTAGTCTACTTAACCAAGAATCTCTTTTAAAGCACTCTTCAAGTCAGTGTGGCAACAACTATTGTTTGCAGACTGGCAATGTGGGAATTTCAAAGGATTCTCAATTATTCATGAAATTAGATCCTACTTGGCAATGCTTGCTAGGCAATTTAGGCTACTTACTGTTTATAGGGAATGGGAGCAGATGTCCAGGATGGAGGTACGGCAGGTGTAGACCACCTGTCCCGAGGAGATTATATCCTGGTAAACGCAGGTAGCATCTGCTCTAGGAAACATCAGCTTCTCATTGTGGTCCAGCTAAGGAGGTCATATGTCTAATTTCCTGGTTGGGACCTGCAGCTGTTGACTTGAGGTTGGCCCCCTCCACACACTTTTCTTATAGGGTACCAAGAGACTCAACAGGTGGACCTAGAGGTAAAGAATTTCCAAATGGTTGGAAAAATAGAACAGGATGGGGGCCAGGATTTGGAAGGAAGAAGTCTGATGGTGGCCAGTTGGAGGAGAACAACTATAGCAGTCTTGGTTGCCTGTTTGTGGGAGCCACATAGCATGAGGTGGGATGTTTGAATCCCAGGTTGACTGTCTAAATTGATGCAGGAGAAAAGGCATGGAGAAAAAAAATCAGCACTTTCAATTCTTCCCTGTACTGAGTTTCTCTGAAATTTGCAAGAAATAAAAGATCATTTCTTCTCAAAGTATTCTCTAATTCATCTTTTTCATTGTCAGATTGGCTTCAAAGCTTTGTTTGGGAGCATATTCCTGTCATTGTATATGTTTTGTTATCACTGACTCACCCTCATATTTCTGGGGTTTGTGCAGAGGGTAGGATGAAGTGAAAATGGAATTGCAAATAAAAGAGATTATACTTGTTTCAGTTTAGTGGTATTTTTAAAAGATGATAACAGAAGGGATGTATTGAAGTAATCAAAGGGAATAGTAGAGAGATTGAATTATAGTATAACCTAACATTACCATGGAGATGAGAGTTACAATTCCAGAATCCACCAGCTAATGAAATTTTGTAACTGGGATGGCTTCATGAAGATTTCTGGGAGAAAGATACTAGAAAGAGAGTAGGTAAGAATGCCAGTTGGTGAGGAGGGAGTCATCTTGGGACCATGTGTATGGGTGTTGGGATGTCCTAGAATTTTGTTTGTCACCTTTGCCCTCTAGAGAGATATTAAGAGCCATGGTCACTGTTGCTGTTATGACAGCTGATGAATGCTTTGTTGCTTTGGCATGAACCCTGGGTAATTGAGCAACTTCAGTGCATCCTCTGAGATAATTCTTATGCCTTGACACCAAGTTGGGGAAGGAAGCTACTCCCACTAATTGAGTCACTCCTCTGGGCTTTTGCCTTGCCTTTCTCCCCACTAGGGAAGGATTCTAAGTGCATGGCCTTGCACTGGTTGCTCATATATCCATAAACATAATTCTCCACTTTGTTCTCTATTCTTTCATCATTATCATTTACTTCCCTTATGTAAAGAAAACTGGCAGTCATTAATCCTTATTGCACCATTAATATAAGCATCATGGTTGAAGTTTGAGGAAATATGTGAGTTAGAAATCAAGAGATAATATCCCACTTGGCTTAACACAGTGGCTGGCACATAGTGTGTACTTAATAAATGCTAATAGGCTGATTGAGGGCAGCTAGGTGGCATAATGCATAGAGAACTGGGCTCAGAATCAGGAAGAACTCATCTTCATCAGCCCAAATCTAGCCTCAGACACTGACTAGCTATGTGACCCTGGGCAAGTCACTTAATCCTGTTTGCCTCAGTTTCTCATTTGTAAAGAAATGGCAAACCACTCCAGTATCTTTGTCAAGAAAATCCCAAATGGGATCACGAAGAGTTGGACATGACTGAACAACAACAACAATAACAACAATAACAACTTATATGCCTACTATCAATGCTCCCATACATAGATTACAGTAAGATCCTTGGGTGACAGGTCAAGAGCTTGAAAGGATGTCAGATGTAATATAGTCCAGACTCTTTATTTGGCAGACTAAGTAACTGAGGCCCACGTCAGACAGGTAGTAAGAAAAAAAGGTAGAATTTGAACCCAGGTTTTCTGACTCTTTCCACTGTGGGAAAGAGAACAGTGGAAATAATATTATTGCTCCATGTGAAATGAAAAAATACCACAAATTCAGAGAAAACTGGGAAGACTTGTGTGAACTGATGAAGAGTTAAAATGAGAAGTACCAGGAGAACATTTTACATGGCCACAGTCATGTAAAGGAGAAAAAACCAAACCAAACCTTGAAGGACCTCATAAATTTGATCAGTGACTAATCATGACTTCAGAAAAATGATGATGACGCATGTTAACCATTTCCTGGAAGAAAGATGATGGACTAGAGATGCAGGATGAGACATATCTCTTCAGAAATGGCCAATGGATTCAATTGTTTCTTTGACTATACTTATATTTGCTAAAAGGGAGGGTTTTTATGGGTGAGGGGAAGGAGTTAGTGAGTAGCAATAGAGATGACAAGATCAATGAAAAATTTAAGAAGGGCTCAGAAGGAAATAAAAAGAGGTTTGGGGAAGAGTCACAAACAGACAAAGCAATTTTGTCATTGCTCTGTTAAGATAAAAAGTTAAAAAAAATCCCTGCCTTTCAGTCCTCGTTCTGTTGCGATCTCTACTGAATTTGCTTACCTCTCCTTGCCCCCTTCATTTCCCTCTATCTCTCTCCTTATCTCTTTGTTCTC